AAAATGCTGTGAAGGTGACTTTTTAAAACCTTCACAGTGTTTTTGCTGTGAAGGTTCGACTTTTTTTAAACCTTCACAGTGTTTTTGCTGTGAAGGTTACGTGTAAAAATGTGGTCTCACGGGTCTCACGAAAACAGGCTGGTCTCACGTGAACCCAATCCTATATATATATATATATGGGGTCCACTAACAGGTGTTAGGTCCATTTAAAGTGTGATAGTGAAAAATAGCTAGTAATTTACTTCGTGGCAAAGTCACTATGCATGCCAGCTGAGTAGTTATCCCCTGCTTTACACCCCCAACGTCATCCAAGATATTTTCCACCATTTTCAATCTCAACCGTTGATTTCATCTCCTCTTCCTTCCTCCTTCAATATCCAATATAACTATTGGCAAATGCCCCCTGTTTATTAGGGTTCAAAAAACCAGATTCTCTCTCTCCCTCTAAACTGCACATTGTGTTGTTTATTTGTTTCTTATCTCCATACAAATTATTGTATTCATGTGTGAAGATTCAACGATGGTTTCTTCTTCCAATGGTGTCGTTGAAGGTTCGTTTTCGTTTTCCGTTTTGCATTTTTCGAATTCTCGTATGTTTTGCTTCGATTTCGTGTTGTTTATTTGGGTTATAAGTCGATTGAGTTGTTGATTTGATTTTTTTTAACTGTTTGAGTCGTTCTTCATTTCCTGTTTGTGGTTTTCGAGATTTGATTTGATTTGATTTGATTCGATTTGATTGTTTGAAACGTTCCATGGTTGTGATTTTGGCAATGCTGTGGAGTTTAGGGTGGAACGGTCAATAGTGTTGTGAAATTGGGTCAAAAGCTAGGATTTTCTGTTGAATTTTGTTTTTTTTTTTATTGAACCAGATCTGATCTGTGTGGTTTTAAACGATCAATCTTGTGTTTCTGTCTGGTTAGTTTCTGGTTTACTAGGAATGATGATCCTGATTCAAGGTTTATGATTTGATTTTTTTTGTCTATAAAAAGGAAAAACTTTAAGCTTAATAATTTATTGGTGAATTATTGTTCCATAAATGGAATATACTATTGGTTGAGTTGTATTGAAGCTAGCTTAGGAGGTATTTTTCATTTATTGTATGTTATCGGTTTAAGGACGTAAGGTGACCCTGCTTTTTCAGGGTAAGAAGGGGTAGAGAATAATCAAAAACGGAAAGTGTTCATTTATTCATTAATGAATATAATAGTGAATAGAATAGCATATCATGTCGACAAGCCTATTTGTTTGAGAGTTGAATGGTCGGCCTCCTTAATGTGTTCCCTTTTTAACCTCGTGCATGATCATGTTGTACTTAATGCGGTAATAATTGTATCCTGATATTGGGGGTACAAGTTTTAATGCATGAGTTACAATGTGAGATACAGGATTTGGATGATAAGGGAGCAAATGGTCCCGACTTTGCCTAATATGGTTAGGTTTTTTAGATATTACTTACCATATGTGTTTATACCAAGTTTGAATAAATGAAAATCAAATCATAAGCCTTGAATAAGATCACTGTTCCTAGTAAACCAGATCGGAATTAGACAGAATACGAGATTGATCTTTTCTAAACACACATATCAGATCTGGTTCAATTGTAAAAACAAAATTCAACAGGAAATCATAGCTTTTGATCCAATTTCACCATAGTGTTCTGGGCAGGGGTGCTCAAAAATCCGACCAACCCAACCCAATGCAAAAGCTATGATTTCCTCATTGGGTTGGGTTGAGATTTTTCAAACCGCAAGCATTGGGTTAGGTTGTTCAAATATCTTTAACCCGATCAACCCAACCCATGAGCACCCCTGGTTAGGATGGACCCAGTGTATTGGATACGGCGGAACAGGCCACAGCTTTGTTCCTCCGTCGTAGTGTGAAAATTATAGGGTCTTGAAAAGTGTCATTGTATCAATTTATTGTGTGCTACTGTATATATTTTGAAACTACAATGAGGATAAAAGTCTTTCTTAGTAGAGTTGGTTTGCAAGGCTTTTCTTCCACCTTTGACCCGATTTCGAATTCCTTTAGTGTTATTTTATTAGTTTTTAGCTTTTAATTTTAGATTATTATGTTTCTGAATTTTTTTTGTAATAAAAGACTTGAAAATAGGACCTCACATATGAAAATCAATGAACTAACCAACAAACCACTGATGATTTCTTGAAAAATATTCCTATATTTGTTTCTTATATAAATGGTGTCACCACTTCAAAAAATTTCTAAGTTTGTTTCTTCACTGTTCCTTCCTAAACTCAACAACATTGAAAACCACAAACAGGAAACAGAGAAAGACTTAACCAGTCAAAAACATCAAATCAAAACAGACACACTAGAATAGCTTTTCATCAACCAGAAACAATAGCTTTTCATCTAATTTCACTACCCATAAATTTAACACTGTTCCTTCCTAAACTCAACAACATTGCCAAAATGGCAATTGTGGAAGGTTCAATGCATGTTTGCAATGTGATCTACAAAAATTGAATTTGGGGGGGGGGGTTGGGTAAAGATGAAAAGGGAGAGATGGTCCCCTATGCCTAATATGTTATAATGATTCAGGTATTACTTACCATGTGTGTTTGTACCAAGTTTGTGAAATTGGTTGATTTTTGTATATAAAAGATGAAGTGTCAACATTCATACTAGCGTAGAGCAAAGTTTTCTAGTAAATGCGGGTGAAAGCTTGAGTGTCAAAATTCACTAGGTAAGCCATAACCATAAGTATGAAAATGAAATACCAACATAAGACCTAGTTTACTCCAACCAATCTCCATTTGCTTAGGAAGCCAGCCTGTGCTTATCACTCAGTTCGATATCAAACCAAACTAACACAATAAATCCCATGTAAAGGTAGAGTCTGGGGAGTAAGATAAAACAAGCGAGTAAGGTATAGGTGAGAGCGTGTACAAGTAAATATACAATGTACCAGGACAAAGGAAAAAGACATAGTTACACAAACAAGGGGATTGGGGCACATGGCACAATATAGACAACAATTACATGAAGAAAATCTAGGACTAATGTACAACATACGAGTAACAAAATCTTGTGGGTTTAGCTCAACTGGCAATAAGGCTTGGGCCTTGGGGGATCCTCCATAGAGGTCACCGGTTCAAGTTTTGCAAGACCATCAAGGCCCATGGGATAGTCGAGGTGCGGAAGCTTGAACGGGCACCTATGGACTTATTTTCTTTTATCACTAGCAATTATACAAATCACCAACATAATTAAGCCTTTCATACTTGCAAGTTCTTTTAAGGTTCTAGTTCCGACTTTTTTTAGCAAGCTTTATACTTTCTTTTCACACACTTTTGCATAAGCCAAAGGTCTTCATGTAAACAACTGCTCTGCTCTTTGGAGTAGAGGTAACATTTGCCTACATCCCACCCTTCAACCCCACTTCTGGGTGGGATATACCGGGCTTGTTTGGTTTCGCCTACAAGATTAATACCTAGTAGCAACTATTAATTTTTGTCCTTTATCAAGAATTTAGTTTGGTGGTATCTGACCTCATCCTATTCGTAGTTATATGACAAATGTCACCGGTTCAAACTCTGCTTTTGCCATTGCTTTCTAAACGAAAAACCATCCAATTGTGTTGTTAAATGCGTACCCAACCCGTGAAGTTTTTCTATCAAAATTTGATTTTAATGGAGTTTTGTCGCTATTTTATTGTTTTTTTCTCATGTTTCTACTTTCGGATAACTCATAATATAAATGAAATTAACTAGTTTAGGCAAGTGGTCATGCATAGCTCTTAAGAATCTTGTCTTAACTCTCAAGGGTCGTTTTCGACATGTTGCCTTCTTAATTATCTTGTTATATTTTATACCCGTTTGGCCCGCTAAACTATCTAGTAACGCGTTATTTAGCCGATTCATTAAATAATAAATACTCACATGCCCCTGGACCTAATATTGGTTGTCAAGATGCTTGTCTTTTTCAATTATAATCATATGTCCATTTCTTGGTGCAATTATTGATAATCTTGTTTTGCATCTAATTTAGTCAAAGGGGGACCCTTGATGCCATATTTTGAACTTATTTTGCATCTCTTTATAGTTAATAAACCATGTGAATTAATTAATTGTGTGCTGGAATTCATATGTTTTCTGCTATTACTTGTATTGGAAATACTAGTGGAATAAGCCAAGCTTATTGAAAAAGCTCCGTTTGGTTAGCGTTTCAATAAGTTTCCTGCCCGGGGTGTTCTTTTCAACTTTTCTTCCTTCTAATTTTTCCCCCTTTTATTTTTCCAATTAATCTTTCACACATGTTCTTTTAAGTCATTTTACATTGTCATCTAGTTTATCAACCATTCCGCCTTTCTGAAATAACTGTCTACATTTCTATTTTAGTTTGTCCCAAAATAAAAGTCCACTTTCAAAAGTAAGTGTCTACTTCCCTGTTTAGAGAAAAATTTTCTCTTATAATTAAGGATAAAAGTGTCATTTAGTTAATGAAAAAGTGTAATAATTATGCATCCAAAAACTGTGTGACATTTTTATTGTGGACATTTATTTTGAGACAGTGAAAGCAGTTAATTGTTTATAAACAAACATGACTGGTCCATCTCAGCCAACAGTTAACTTATTAGCCAACAACTAACTTATCAGATAGTTTACCAAACATAACCTTAATCTATGGAACTAAGATGACTCATATGATCATACAACATATGATTTTCTTTTAGTTATTTAATAGGGAAATGACCAAAATAGCTAATCTTCTCAACAAAATTTACTTTTTAGCCATTTTTGAGCATCAAATGCCCATTTTAGCCAAAGTTTACGCAAGTATTTTCTTGAAAAATGGCAAAAAATGAATTTGGTTGGGAAGATTCGGTATTTTGGTCAATTTCCCTATTTAATAATATAAATAATGTTGAAATCTTCCAAATATAGAAATATGTAATTCTTTTTGGGGTTCTCTCTTTTGAAAAAATTATAGAGAATCTGTTGCAGATACTGACTTGTAACTTCTCTCTTCCAGTTTTGAATTCAACAGATGATGGAAAAAAGTACATATCGTCCGAAGAGTTACAGAAACACAACAAGCCGAATGACCTTTGGATCTCGATCAAGGGAAAAGTTTACAACGTTACCGAGTGGGCTAAAATACACCCGGGTGGCGATATCCCGCTCTTAAATCTTGCCGGTCAAGACGTAACCGATGCGTTCATCGCTTTCCACCCGGGATCAGCATGGCAACATCTCGATAAACTCTTCACCGGGTATCACTTAAAAGATTATCAAATTTCCGATGTCTCCAAAGATTATCGAAAACTCGCTTCCGAGTTTGCAAAAGCCGGAATGTTCGAAAAGAAAGGCCACGGTGTGATCTACTCGCTTTGTTTCGTTTCCTTGCTTCTTTCAGCATGCGTTTATGGTGTCTTGTATTCTACAAGCTTCTGGGTTCATATGGTGGCCGGAGCCGTTTTGGGTTTAGCGTGGATGCAAATTGCATATTTAGGACACGATGCCGGGCATTACCAAATGATGGCGACTCGTGGGTGGAATAAATTCGCCGGAATCTTTATTGGAAATTGTATTACGGGTATAAGTATCGCGTGGTGGAAATGGACACATAATGCACATCATATTGCGTGTAATAGCCTCGATTACGACCCCGATCTTCAACATCTACCGATGCTAGCTGTTTCCCCGAAACTGTTCAACTCGTTGACGTCCGTTTTCTACGGTCGAGAATTGACGTTCGATTCATTGGCTCGGTTCTTCGTGAGCTACCAACACTACTCGTATTACCCGATTATGTGCGTCGCTCGGGTCAACCTTTATCTACAAACTTTACTATTATTGTGCTCAAAGCGAAGAATCCCCGACCGTGGTCTCAACATTCTCGGAACCCTCGTCTTTTGGACATGGTTTCCGCTTCTCGTTTCCCAACTTCCGAATTGGCCGGAACGGGTCGCGTTTGTGTTGGTCAGCTTTTCCGTCACCGGAATCCAACACGTTCAGTTCACATTGAACCATTTTGCGGCTGATGTATACGTGGGCCCGCCAAAGGGGAATGATTGGTTCGAGAAACAAACGAGCGGGACTATCGATATCTCGTGCTCGTCCTACATGGATTGGTTCTTTGGCGGTTTACAGTTCCAACTCGAGCACCATTTGTTTCCGAGGCTACCACGGTGCCATCTAAGGTCGATTTCGCCGGTCGTTAGAGAACTTTGCAAGAAACACAATTTGCCATACACGAGTTTATCGTTCTTCGATGCCAATATAACGACCCTGAAAACGCTTAGAACCGCAGCTTTGCAGGCTCGGGATCTCACGAATCCTGCTCCCCAAAACTTGCTATGGGAAGCTTTTAACACTCACGGTTGAGTCCGTTTTCATCGGGCTCGATATCAGGGTACTCGGCTCGATTATTCGGTTTTCGTTACACTTTTTCGTATTTCTAATACTAAACATGGAATCTATTTATTTATAGATTTTGCATTTTGATTGTAATCTATGTTTATATATCATATGTTGATTTGGGTTTTTGCTCTTCAGATTGATATCTCATCAAAGGTACAAGTCTTGAAGCTTGTTGTACTTTCGAGTTTTGGAGTCGAGACGTGGAAACCGTGGATCAATGGTTCGAAAGTTTTCTATTAACGGTCATCGATTTGTTAGTTTTATACGTTAACTACTGCGATTCTTGTGTTGTAAATAGGACATGACATGACAACTGTTCAATGTTTGGTAAGATAGAACTGAACTGGTAGAATAACCAATTTACCCCTTATGAGTTGTTTCCATCGTTTTAAATATTTTGATTAGTTTATGTAATTTATTAAATAGTAATAAAATAAATATTTTAATTACAAAATATATCATTAAAAAGTTTTTGTCAAGATGATTGAAATGAAACTAAGATATAAAGTTTATTAATTTTCAAATTTTATCTTATACCTTCTTTAAATAAATAAATAAATATATATATATATATATATATATTATTTTTTTATTAGAAGAGTACTCGTGCAATGTAGCGGTAAACATCTCGATATGTTATTCTATTATTTGTCTCTGTCGATGTTATAATTTGATTTTATGTGGTTTTAAGAAAATAATAATGATTTTATTTTTGAATAAAATATAAATTTGAAAAAATATCAATGTTAATAACAAATCAACTATTTAAAAGAGTGGTCTCATGGGTCTCACAAAAACAAGTTGGTCTCACATAAACCCAACCCTGTAGTTGATGTATATATGTATATAATAACAAGTTGTCACTTAGAGGGTTAAGTTAGTCTCACATAAACCCATCCCTGTAGTTGATGTATATGTCCATCCAATATTCATGTACTCATATGGGATATCACATAATTAAAATGCATATGCTTTAGTTTACTTGTCACATGGGTTTTTCTAATTATTCAATATCTCAAAATCCCTTTATTTTAATAAATACAGTATTTAACTTGACATATAATTTAATAACAACGTTTCATTCAAAACCCGACATCAAAGACATTCTTCCATAAACATACGAAAACGATCTTATAAACCAAAGTTGATGTTACTCGTATTTTATGACGACACTCATGAGAAGAAAAATTACTGAAAATTTACTCAGAAAATGTAACCAAACGAACTCAATATATCTAACGTGAAAACTTGGTTTTGGAGTGAGATGTACACAAATCTGTCTTCTATCCAAAATGGTAGAGTGAATGTTTTCATAACGACATTAGACTTGCGAAAAATATGCCAGCGAAAAGGTTACGGACAAAAACTGATAAACAATAGAGTAAATCAGAAAATTACGTTTTTCGTTCCTATGGTTTATTAAAAATTATGGATTTCGTCCCAGTGGGTTTGTGGAGAGGTTTAAAAAGAATGAATTGTAGACCATATGGATGAGAAAATCAATCATAAGGATGAAAACGGTGATGAATTATACACCATGGAAAGGAAAATCGTAAAATTTAAAATCACAGGGAGTAAAATAGAAATTTCAACAAACTACATGGACTAAAAACATACTTTACCCTAAATAGTGTGTAGTAGAAAAAACAAAAGCAAGTAGGCATAGTGATATACAAAAGGTAAAAAACACTTTTCAATTATACCCGGATAAAACCTTTAGACGTGTAGCTCAGTTGGCAAAGGATTAAGTGACCTTGCATAAATATATAACAGATTCAAGTTTGAATCCCATAAGATTTAGGATTGAATCCTCTGCTTGCCTTGACCGTTGAGTCAACTCATGAAATGTCTCCTTACATGTGATGCCCATAGGACGGGTTCCGTGCAGGCCCGTTCCTGGTATTTTATGGGTCCTGGGCGAGCGATAGAAAATGGGTCCTCCATTTGAACGGAGTCACAGACAAATCTGAAATACATGTTTTCTTTATCATTGAAAGTAAAATTGCATACAATAAATAATGATACTTCATGCAAGACAACTTCTTCGAGTGGAGGATTAGGAGTATTAAAAACAATCTATGATAAAAACACTATAAAACATATACCATATACACAGTGCCCAAATTGTTGACAAAACCACTGACCATTTGGCATTTTGATAATAGCCACTAGCCGCTACATATAAACAAAAATACTGCAGTATGCTAACAACCCACAACTCAACTCTGCCCTAGAAGAACTTCTAATCAAAACCCTATGTCCACAGTTCAACCTTGGTTTTGATGGACTGGTAGGTTGAGTACCTTAGTTGGCAGTCAAAACTGGAACTCCTTTTTCAATCTAATTGGAGTTCACAACTGGAATTGAAAATGAATGGAGAGATCTGTTCGGTAAACCGACTTAAGAGGGCAAAAAAGTGATGTTTTTGAAGCCAGTGGATTCCTAATGTTATGGACTTATTTTTCTAGTAGTTGTAAATGGTCCAGACACAATAGTCATACACACAAATTGACAAAAAAAACATACACCGTTTTCTTTTTATTAGATTCAACAACTGAAGTTTGAAACTCAAGGTCTTTCAAATCCACAAACAAAAATACAGAGAAATTAACAAACACATCAAATTAATAATTAACATTTAAGTAAGAGCTTACCTTCCGGACAAAAATCTTGATTTCGATTTCTCGATCTCTTCTAGTGAAGAGCAATTGAGCATGAAATTGGCTATTAAAATCACAATATGAAATCGGAAATTTAGAACCAAGAAGTGAGATTTGAGAATTCAGATGTTGGAGACTGGAGAAAAGTTATGCCAATCCGTCAATATCAAATCGAACTTAAAAGATATAAAGAACCATAATTTTTATATATTAATCTGGATATCCAACCCGCTATGCGCCAACTAATCCCAGGACAACCACCTGCTTTGTAGATAACCCGGAGTCACCGCATTTGAACCTCCGTGGCCACAAGGGGTTTTTTATTCCCACTTGGATTTGAATCTGAGACCTCCTGGTACTTTTGACCTTTGGAGCCAAGCTCAAACCAATCAGGCACCACCCTTGTGGTTAAAGAACCATACATTAAAGATTACCATTGCAAGAAAATCTATGGGATTTTCCATCGTGATTGAAGACGGTTGCTGGAAATTGGAAGGTCGGCATCGGCTTGAGCAGATTTCTCTGATACGTGCATTGCAAAGTAGAAGGAAGATGAAGAGATTTTCTTGGTTTCTCAATTGTTACATCTTCAACCTGATTAGTTAGATCTTCAATTAAATTTAGGGTTGGGCCCAAAAGCTTTTGGTGCGTTTGGTTTGCAGGAATGTTTCTGAGGGATTTAGATTTGTAGGAGGGATTTGGATTTGGAGGGATTTGGATTGGATTGGATTGGATTTAAAATCCATTCCTGTGTTTGGTTTGCAGGATTTGGATTAGATTTGAAATGAAGCGAGAGGAAGCGATGGGAGGGAAGTGAGGTGAAGTGAAGCGGGAGGAAGCGATGGGAGGAAGCGCCTAGGATTTGGATTTCAAATCCCACCCCTTTGCAAAGGATTTCCAAATCCCATGTTTAATGGATTTTAATGAAATCACGGGATTTCAAATCCTGACAATTTGGCAAACCAAACACAGGATTGGAATGAATTTTAAATCCAAATCCCCCCAATTCCATTCCATTCCTGCAAACCAAAAGCACCCTTCGTCTTACAAAGGTTGGCCCTAATTTTATAATAGTAAACATTATATAACATATAACACATAACTATTTTTTTGGGCCCCTATTTTCCATAGGCCTGCGCACAAGTCCAACCCGCCCTTCCTCATGAACGGGATTGGTTCCGTATGAGGCCAGTTGAGGTTGCTGATCCAAATAAAGAGATAAATTTTCTTCATTTCATTATTAAATTTTAGAATTAAAAAGTAGACACTTACGAAGATGAACACTTATTTGAAAGAAACTAAGGGACTCTTTAGTTCATTTTTTATTAAGACTTGTATTTTCTATTAAGACCTGTATGGATAAAATTGTCTGTATCAATAATATTGTCTTTATAATAATACATACATTGTTGTTCGATTGTTGTGCTGAAAATTTATCTTAAACGATAAGAATTAATCATCAACATTTAAGAAAACAACTTAAAAAAATTAATCATTAAAAAAAGAATTGGATTTTAATACTCCAAAATTGTCATGTTCACTTGCAACCAACTCTTCCTGCCTTTGCTTTCTGTTCAACAAACACACTTTCTCTTGTTCTTCTTTCCCCCATATTCTTTCCTCACCAAACCCTCAAATTTCATATCTAATCAAACACAACCCACATTTGATTGCTTCCCAAATCGCCTTAATTCATAAAATTATCCCAAATTCCAAACACTCATTTCTCTAATTCGCATTTCGGAATCGAATCTGAGGTTTCCTTTTCGCCATAATTCAAATGAGCAAATCCTCGTGAAATTTCCCCAATTTGTTGGTTTAATTTCGTGATTCGTTGTTTGAGAGAAGGATTCATGGAAGTGGAACAATCGAATCAAGCAATGGCCTTCCATGGGGCGTCAATGGAGCAAAGCATTGGGTTCGTTAAAGCCCTTCAGGTTTTTATCTTCACTTTTTACTTTCGATTTCCCCCTTTTCATTTCGTATCAGATCTGGGTTTGCTGTATGATTATATATTATTCAGGAAAATTTATGAAATATGGTTGACTTTTCTGTAATTCCTTCACTGTTTGATTACTCTTATGTGCACGAATTGATGTAATACGAGCTGGAATTTGACTTTGGGAGTCAAGTTGTTGATATCTAAACTCAGAATTGAGATGGCAGATGTTCATCAAACTTTATGACAAATAATTGGAAATGGAATGTAGTCGGTGTTAATTGCCTCAAAATGGGTACTAATTCTGCATTTTAGAAGGCTAAATAGCGTGAGAAGGTTAGAAGGAAAGGTTCATATGTGAACCGTTGAAAAAATCCATGTATATGTGAACCCATATGAATAATCTATAATATCAATAAAAAGGGTGGTGCCTGATTGGTTTGAGCTTGACTCCAAAAGTCAAAAGTACCTGGAGGTCCCCGGTTCAAATCCAAGGAGGAAAAAAAATCCCCTTGTGGCCACGGAGGTTCAAATGCGGTGACTCCGGGCTATCTGCAAAGCAGGTGGTCCTGGGATTAGTCGGCTCGCATAGCGGGTTGGATATCCAGGTTAATAAAAAAAAAAATATCGGTTCAGATATGCATAATCTTCGAATATTTTATTTTTGGGATTTTTTTCAATGATTCACATATGAACCTTTCGTTCTTACCTTCTGACGATATTTAGTCTTCTTATTAGAACCGACCTCTATAGAAATGAGAAAGTATTGGATAGGGTGATTGTTTTCGCTGGGTTTTTGACGATGATTGTACATGTAATGCACATGGTTAAAAGGGGTTTATGGATTTCATTTGCAGATTATATGGTGTCAAGTTGGCCTTTTTGATCAAATTGCCAATTGTCAAGTTAGATTTAACTTTTTTTTTTCTTTTTCTTGATTAACCTGGATATCCAACCCCCTATGCGAGCCGACTAATCCCAGGGCGACCACCCGCTTCGTGGGTATCCTGGAGTCACCGCATTTGAACCTCCGTGACCACAAGGGGATTTTTATTCCTCCTTGGATTCGAACCTGTGACCTTCAGGCACTTTTGGCCTTTGGAGCCCAAGCCCAAACCAATAGCGACCACTCCTGTGGTTTAGATTTATCTTATTTTCTCCCTTGTCTTGTGGAAATTGCATCATTTCTTTGGAATTACCTCTTTTCCCATTGTCATTGTTACGTTGATTGTGGGTCCATAAGATTCATGCACATTTAAGACATTTGACAAAGAAATAGACAACTGTTAGGTTCAATAATCACTTACACTAGCGAGTGTTCAAGCCAGTTTGCACGCAACTCGACTAATCCCATGGGGCACTGAGATAACAGCCAGGAAAATCCCCAGTGGCACAAAATCGCAACCATCTTGGCTTTGATCGCCAATATGCATGACCATGTTTTTTTTGAAGTATATAATATTTATATACGGCAAATAGAACAAATAAACTCATACACCCTCCTCATCTTTGGTAACTAGTCATACACTAGTTGACTCGCATAAAACCATGTGCTTGGTCAAACATTGTAATTTTCTTGAGATAGAGGAATATTAGTTTATGTAGTATTCCGGAGGGATTGATTATCTGAAATTACGTAATCAAGGTAGATGTTCAGGGAAATGTATTGGCTTTATGTGGTTTTTGCGAGTTTTTAGATGTTAAATCGTAGCTAATTATCTCGTTGCTAATAAGGTTTTATGCTTGTTTTAGGAACTCAAACATCTACGGCCTCAACTATATTCGGCGGCGGAATATTGTGAAAAATCTTATCTTCATAGTGAACAAAAACAAGTGTAAGAATCGTCTAAAACATGATATTTTCGCCTAACTTTTTGGTTCTTTACGTTGCTTGGTATTCAATTCTTCCCATGTATTTAAGAAAGTTCATAATTTCACCGTGCGAGATTTTTGACAATTAATGGTACAACAGTAAATATGCTCAATGCTATGAAGCGTTTGCACTTTTACCCCTTGTTGAATCTATACAGGGAAAAATGCAACAAAGTTTGTTTTAGTTCCTATTTAATAAAATGATTTTATTTTCTGTAACGAAGTTTCAAAATTTTCTATACTGTGTACCACCCATTTTGACCTGTAACATGCTGATCTTGTAACATTTGATGGCGTGAAGACCGGTTTAAGAAAGGTGTACGATGAAGTAGATGATAATCATGACATCCACATCATCAAATGTTACAAGATCAACATGTTACCGGTCAAAATGGGTAAAAAATAGAGAAAATTGAAATTTTGCTACATTAAATAGGAAAATATGAAACGTTGTTATATGGGAAAAAGAATCCTTTGTTACATTAAATAGGAACTAAGGCAAACTACGTTGCATTTTTTATGCAAAATGGTCGATCTAAACGTTGTTCTTATGGAATATTGTACTCATTTCTTGTAGGGTCCTTGATAACTTGAAAGATTATGCCGTACGAGCCCTTGTAAATGCCGTTGACCATCTTGGCACAGTTGCTTACAAATTTACCGACCTTTTAGACCAACAAGCGTTAGAAATTTCAACAACCGGTTTACACGTGACATGTTTGCATCAAGTAAGTTATATTGCGGGTTCTTTTTCTTTCTTGAAAATCTTTCATGCCGACGTTATTGATGATTGATTTTTGTTGGTGATAAGCAACTTCTTACATGCCAAACGTATACGGATAGAGAAGCTCTAAGGCAACAACAATTGCTAGCGGTTGTACCACGGCATCACAAGCATTACAGTTTGCCGAGTAAGAATATCGGTTCTCTTTTGTTTATAGTAAAATTTGAAACTTTATACATCGATTGAGAAAAGGGTTCTTCGTTACACCAATTAGGAACTAAACCAAACTTTGTTTCATTTTGATGCATTTTTCACGGTCGGTAAATGACCTACAAAATATCGGGCTTTTTGGAAATAAGTGTCCGATTTCTTCGGATAATAGATTTTTCATGACCTTACCCTTACGGCTTCTTTCAACCTAGATTCCGTCAGCAAAAAGGTCCATTTTAGTCCACAGATTCAAACCGCTGCAAAGCAGAGTCATTTTCAATCACGGCCTCGACAATATACTTCAGGTAACACACATATATATATATATATATATATATATATATATATATATATATATATATATATATTATTTTTGCATCGTTCATAAAGTTGTAAAACGTTTGATTCGATCATACTTAACACCTTGCCTTTAAAATAGGCACCCCGGCTGCAAATACTCTTTGTTGGCATCTAGCATCGGAAACCAAGTCGACCCTGAAAGGGAATTCACGCCCAATGAGGTTTCGTAAACTTATCCATTACCTGTTTTTCAACGAGTGATTAACTTTCCGAACCATCATTTTTGCAAAAATGCAAAAGGAACACCATAGTCAAGACGCTTTATTTGAAAAGCGTTCTAAAAACTTGTTAGGACGCCCAAAAGTGTCCTATCAACTTATTGCAACACTTTTACATATGAAACACAGTTGTTTGGTTTTATAAAATTAAGTCCTATAAAGCAGTCTATTAGGACACTTATACATATTTGGCGTCCTATAAATTCGATTTAGTTGTAGTAACATCTTACCCCTCCCAGACCCCACCTCTGGGTGGGATATGTTGGCTCGTTTGGTTCAAACGCCATTGTTTGGGTAGGATGGTTTTACGTCTTTTATCTTTTTGCATTTTGGCAAGAACGATGAGCCAAATATGATGGTTAGAAAATCGAATCAATCGTTTTCAAAATGAAAAAAATGTCTGGAAGTTCCTGAAAAGAGCTGTAAGTTGCGATTTTGGTTATTATTTGCAGCGTTGATGATCCCAAAACTTCTGGCCGCGCTCCTGTGTCGTTTAATGCATCAAGTACGTAATCTCTTTACTACGGTTGTTATTTGGCTGAATCAAAATTGTATTTCTAATACTCGTTTATGTAGATGGTGATAACGGGATGCGGACAAAATCAGCCGAAGCTCATCTTCAGCTGCGTAACATGGGCCCCGCTTCAAGCGCTGCTATCCGGACACTTGGAATCTCACGACAGGTAATTTCAAATTCCACAATAATTCAACTTAAACGTCACATTTCTTATTATTTCGGAGGGTCGGTCAAAATGAGCCAACAACACGAGTTCAGAGGATCGTCCAAGAGGAGCCAAACTTATTGTATTTTTTATTTCTTTATATTCATATACCGATTTATCGTATACAACTGGTCTACTCTTTGGGGTAGAGGACAAATCTGCATACATCTCATCCCCAAACCCACCTTCGGGTGGAATATATTGGGCTCGTTTGGTTTGCCTTTACTTCTTGGCAACGGCAGACCCAAGATTTTTGACGAGCGGATGCACCTTTAAGGTGGATCAAAACCCCGCAAAGTCACCCGATGTGTTGTTAGCCGAACTCCACCATTTTGAGGGATTTGTTTAAGTTCAAGTTACGGAAATCGATGATTCTTCTTTTTACAAGACTTGTAGAATTACGAGCGGAATCTCTTAACTGAAAGAGGAGAAACCCCGTTATATGTAAGCATTTGGTTTGTTATGTTAGCCTCGGCTTTTTCTTGAACCATGAAACTAGGAAAAGTAAAACCAAACGAGCTCAGTATATCTCACACAGAGATAGGTCTGCAGGTTTTCTACCCTAAGAGGTAGAGAGGTGGTTTCCGTGAGCAAAATGCAGCTAACCAAATACCCATCTGGAATATGTTTTTCTTTTGACAGGATTCCGCAGAGGGTCCGAAGCCGATGATGCCGTTCCGCTCGTTTGATAATCCTAAACATGAGATTACCCACGTCCCTCTTCGCAGCAAAAGTGTGTTATCGGCTTTTTTTGTCAAACAAAAGACACCGAAACTAAGGACAAGCGCGGTCTCATGAATCCTTCATCATCCCGACAACATTAAAAGACGATCCCTAGGGAACAATCCTCGAGTCCTAAACCCTGAACCCTAAATCTACACGATCTCTTGGTCCAGTGCCATCGTTGAAGACCTCGTTTTATGTGCCCACAAGACTACGAATAATGAGAAGTGTATACTTTGTGTTTGTGAAACTTTTGTATGTAACATGAGTCCTCATTCACCATTTAATAAAATTGTACGAATATTTTTATTTTCTTAAAGAGAAAATTATGTTTTTCATCCCTGTAGTTTATTGAAAATTACGATTTTTGTTCTTGTGGTTTAGAAATTGCAGTTTTCGTCCCTATGGTTTGTAATTTATTACTATTTTCGTTTTTATGATTTATAATTTATTACTGTTTCGGTCATTTTAGGTTTATAATTCCTTACTATTTTAGTCCCTTATACTTAAAGATAAGAATTAGTTCATGAACGATAATAACAATAAATTGCAAACTATAAGAACACAAATAAAATTTGCAAACCACATGGTATGAGATTCCAAATTATTAACAAATTACGAAAGATTAAGGGCTTGTTTGTTTACCTCTTAATAGTTCCATTAAAAGACAACCTCTGAATTGTTAAGAGGTGAATCTTGTTTGTAGAAAAAAATGTTTGCCTCTTAATGATTCTAAAACCTTCCGAATGATTTTGTATCATAGGTTTCTCTTAACCATTCAACGTTCTAATTTCATCGTAAACAATAACCAAACAATTATATTTCATTTTGCATTATATCATGAGAGTCTATTAATCATTCTGCATTAAATCATTCAACAACTGTCAAACAGTCCCTAAAATCGTAGTTTACTGTTTTCTTAATAGTAAAGTTCATTTTTGGTCCCTAATATTTGTCATTTTCAATGATTTTTGTCCCTCAAGTTTATTTTAACAGATTTGTCCCTCACATTTGGTACCTCACAATGATTTTCATCCCTCCTCCTAACGACCGTTAACTTTTTCAATTAATGTAGATATCATATTTGGGGTATGGTGGGTGCCATTTATTTTGGGCAAATCACATCCATCGTCACGGTAAGCCACAAAAACCCAAAACTCCGGCCATGAGTTGCCGGTGTTCGCCGACGATTTGGTCCCGACGATCTTGTCCATGTGTTTGTATGTAGATGTGTATATATATCAGATTAAAGATAATTACATAACATGCCCCTGAAGTTTGATCGTTTTGTAAAAAACAAGAAAATTAAGAAAACAGGTAAAATGACTAAAATATTCCTCATTAAATTTGACTTGATGGAAAAAGTTAACAATCATTAAGAGGAGGGACCGAAATCGTTGCAGGGTGTCAAATGTGAGGGACAAATTGATTAAAATAAAGTTGAGGGACAAAAACTGTTGAAAATGAAAAACGTTAGGGACCAAAAGTGCATTTTACTCTTTTTTTTTAATTAACCGCAAAATTATTGGTACTACCGACGCACTACATGCGTACGTTAGCAGAAGCCACCGCATTTTAGATCCAATCGGGGATCCGCCATTGATAGTCACTCCATAGCTTCACACTCAAGCTCTCTCTCTCTCTCTCTCTCTCTCTCTCTCTCACTCACATACTCACTTCAACTACACACACAAACACCCCAAACACACTGAATTTATGCATCCATCCTTCAATTGAATCAATCCGCAGGTTTTTGCACCCAAATTCAATGTCACCAACGTCGTCACTTCATCAGAGATCACTTCACAAACCCTACAGTTTGTTATTCCACAAATCATCAACTGATGGTCACTCAAAACCCTACTCCTTCTCAATGCTTTTCAATCGGACCACGCTTTTGCTCCTCCTCACTCTCCTCATAATTCTCGGCGTCTTCTCTCCATGGATTGGTGAACGTTCGACGTTTTTCTCATCATTAGGTAATTCTAGGGTTTCTTTGGAAGCGAAATGGAGAGCCTACACGCTCCCGGAAGCGGTGTCGTATGTGGCGAAGAATGGTAGTACGGTGATTGTGTGTGCGGTGAGCCATCCTTACTTGCCGTTCTTGAATAATTGGTTAATTAGTATTGTGAGGCAAAAGCATCATGATAAAGTGCTTGTTATTGCGGAGGATTATGCGACGTTGTATACTGTTAATGGAAGGTGGCCTGGTCATGCTGTGCTCATACCTCCTGCACCTGATGCTCAAGTTGCTCATAAGTTTGGCTCTCAGGTGAATTTCTTTAGATGAAATTATGATATTTTGAGCTTTTTGCATGTTGGTGGCTGGTTTTTGATGAATTAGAGTGAATCTTCGAAATAGAATATGATCGGTCTTTAGCATTATGGATACTGGTTTGATAGTGTTTCTAGGAATCCTTTACTGTCGATAACCTTCAAAGTTGCATCAATTTGCTGTGCGTTATAATGGTAAATGTCAAAATCATCTTATTCGCCATTGTTTCGATAGCAAATTGCAATCCTATCTGATATGTCACTCCATTGGTGAATTGCTTTGCATCCTATTTGAATCATATGATAAGATTCTTTTGATTTTACAGTTGTGGATCCATTTGTAGAGCTTATTAATCCAAAATTAACATTCGCGGGATTGTTGTATGTATAGGGCTATACATCGCTTGAATAGCTGCTTGTTGTGTTGAAGTTTACTCGCATGATTGTCATAAATTATTTTAGGGATCTTTTAATTGAATCTAAGATCCTATTTGATTCATGATCGGTGAAATTGATATAACCATGTTCATTCAATTCACAAAATATATGGATTCAAGTATTGGTGATCATCCCCCTGTATATGAACTTTATAATAGTTTGGAGTTGTATTTTGAGAACCCATGATGCAATAGGTTTTATAACCAATTCAAATGAGATTCGTATATTTTGTAGACCTAAATTTACTTATTATGTGATCAGCAAATATCGGATCTGAGTGAACTATTGTAAAACCTAAGGTGTTTGGGATAATTGGTACTTCCCGAAGAGTGTTTTTGTATCTCTACTGATGCTTATGAAAAGTAAATTAGGGCCTTCCCTTTCCTCGTTTCCTTCAGTTTTTCATATTCGTTCTGTAGATCCTTTCTCCATGATGTGAGGATATATGGAAATGAGAGTTGCAAAATGGACATCAGGAAGATGGTCTAAAAGAAATAAATGATGAAGGCAATCTGCATAAACAAATCAGCATCATCATATTAGTTCAATTTCTGTTTGTTTGTATGAATAGTATGTGGGAATATCATGGTTGACTTTGGGATGAATGGTGCTAACTTGAACTTTTTAGAGTAAGGACCTAAATTTTGTATCTTAAGTTCAGTTCTGCCAAATGTGTAGTGTGATCATTGATAGCAATGTCGGTATACAATTGGCATTGAATAACCTTTTATGCCATTCTACAATACAAGTATTTGAGTTTGACATCAAATAAATTGTAGTTTATTATAATTCATATTTACGTTTGTGATGCATCATAACTATTGGAGTGCCACACTGAAATAACTTGACATATAATATAACTAAATTTGCAATTCACACACTTCATATGGATTGTTGTTAGGGAAACTGTAGTGGTTCAATTTGCTTAGTCACCTTATGAGCTAATCTAAACCAAACGAACCCAATATATCCCACTCGAAAGTAGGGTCTGGAGGGTTGGTATGTATGCATACCTTATCTCAACCACTAGAATCCGGAGGCCGTTTCCGTGTAGACTCCCCAGTTTGTGGCAACGCAAAGGTGTGTGCAAACATGCAATAAGATAGGTAAATATAGCAGGGTAATCGGGAGGTATAACATGTAGAATAATGTTTCAATTGTGTTTAAGCATACAATGTAGTCAGGAATCACCTTATGAGAGGAAGCTAGTTGGCTATCAAAATGAATATTCTTTAAGAACTTAAAATATGTTGTTACTGAATGTGTAGATTCAGAGTATTCATATCAAAAATGCATGATCATATTTACTTTTTGTTGCTTGTAATCTTTTTCCAACTATGTCACATAGACCATACTTCTGTCATTCATCCTTCATGGTTAACATGTTGTCTAGAACACCATTGACATTGAAATTAATGCTTTTGGACCCATTTGCAGGGATTCTTTAACTTCACTTCCAGAAGGCCACGCCATTTACTGCAAATACTAGAACTCGGATATAGTGTAATGTACAATGATGTCGATATGGTCTGGTTAGCGGATCCATTTCCTTACTTGAAAGGAAAACATGATGTGTACTTTATGGATGACATGTCCGCTGTACGTATGCTGAATTTTCTTTTCATTGATTTTGGAAAATTGCTTTATTGTTGTTGATCTCACTATTTTCTCCTGACGGAGGTCTTCACGGAAACAGTTGCTCTACTTTTTGGGGTAGAGGTAAGGTTTGCATTCATCTTAGAGCATCTCCAACAAATTCTCCAAAATGGATAAAAATGAGATTTTGGAGTATTTAACCTATTTTTTCTTTTTTTCTCCAAACTTTCTTCAAAATGGAGAAAATAGGAAATAGGTGATAAAAAATCTCCATATTTGAAGAACTCTCCAAAATTAAATGTTGAAGAGAGAGAAGTGTTTTTTTATTGTTCCCATCAATGAAGTCGAACGTATTATCATTTCATATTGTGAAGTTCATTTAAAAGTTTCTTGGGATATTAAATCTATTGAATATCTTTGTAATATAATTTATGTTGAAATCTCCAAAATGAAGAAATTGTTGGAGATGAATGTAATTTTTTTTCCGATATTTTAACTTGTACTTCATTTTGGAGAAATGGAGAAATTGTAGAGAATCTATTGGAGATGCTAATAACCCCCAATGCGACCTCCAAGTGGGACATATTTATGGCCATTAGATGTGTTTCTGTTTTATAATGATGCAAACCTGCTCTGATTTGGTCTCGTTTTCATGACCAGGTAAAACCACTCGACCACCCTAATGTCTTGCCACCTCCGGGGAAAAAAGGGCGGACTTACATTTGCAGCTGTATGATATATATGCACCCAACACCGGGTGCAAAATTAGTCATGAAAAAGTGGATTGAAGAGCTTGAAGCTCAACCATGGTCTAAAGCAAAGAAAGCTAATGACCAGCCTGCTTTCAACTGGGCATTGAACAAAACAGCAGGGCAGGTGCATTTCTCGTACCTTTTTGGCTGTTAAACTATTGTGCTAATCATGAGTCAGTATAGCCAAGTACAATATATATATATATATATATATATATATATATAGAGAGAGAGAGAGAGAGAGAGGTTCAAGAGAAAACCCCCAAAAAAGGGATAACTAAGGAACACTTTGGTAACCATTCATCTAGACGGTATGCACATGTGCATACAAGTGATTGAAGTTGTTTCTTGGTTTCTATCACTTGCATGCTGGACGAATTGCTTGCAAATTAATTATATGCACATGTGCGTACCATCCAGATAAATAGTTACCTAGGCGTTCCTCAGTTTTTCATTTTGTTGTAGTTTTCCTCTGAACCTGATCCATGTCTGTGTGTTTGCACATGTGTATCTTTAGTGTGTCGATTATTTAAGGGCAAAAATGTGATAAGTAGATACATAATTTCGAGTGTGGGCAGCTGTTCACTGTTGGAGCTCGCCAATATAACTATAGGATGGCAAAATAGATTCTTGCTCAAATGTTCGCTATTGAGTTTGAGCCAAATTTTAGCATTTCATGTATGCGTTTTTAGAATTTGCACAATTCACTATTTAGTAGCAAGGTAAAATGTATGTGAAAAAAGGTAACAAGGCCTATCTTTACACGTTAATCAAACACTTAAGAGTCTGTAGCCTAACTTATGCTATCCTCATAAAGGAGTCTTAAGACATTTCCGAGGACATGATTTTTAGGAGCATCTCCAACAGATTTTCCAAATTTGAGAATTAGAATTCAAAATCTCTAAAAAACTTACATTCAACTCCAACAGCATCTCCATTTTGGAGATTACAAGAATAATTACATTACTAAAATATACATTTGACAAAATATTATTTCTCTCTTCTAAACATTTGGTTTTAAAGTTCCTTGTTGGTGGAATCTAATAAAAAAAATACTGGGGGAATTCGCTCTTACTTTTCATCAGTCTGGAGGAAAAGTATCCATTTTGAAGAATCTGTTGGAAATGTTCTAATAGAAGTTCTTGGCCTCCATACCCTACGTGTCCGTGTGTGGTCCATTGATCGATAAAATCGAACCTAATTGTACAACTTGTTTCGTGGATCATAGCATGACGAAAAATAAATGGTTGCAGGTTGATCTATACCTGCTCCCTCAGGCAGCATTCCCGACGGGTGGATTATACTTCAAGAACCAGACATGGGTAGAAGAGACGAAGGGAAAACACGTCATCATTCATAACAACTACATCCTCGGCTTCGAAAAGAAGATAAAACGGTTTCACGACTACAATCTTTGGTTGGTCGACGATCACGCCTCCGAATCCCCACTCGGCAGATTAGAATGAATCACCCAACTAGGTACACACCATGCAATCTATATCTTCTTTGTTTTCCTTCATCATTCCTTCTTTTTTGTGATGCGGTACGTCTTCATGCCTTTTTATTAACGGAAACCCACAAAATGAAAAAAAAGTACTAAGCGAGCGAAACAAATAGAACCATAACTCGATGGGAGTCGATCCGACCTGCAAATATCGCCATTTTCGTTTGAGTTATCTTCTTGTTAGATATAGGGGGTGAGCCTGTTGTTCTTTAGAGCCTGAAATCTCAGAAAAACTAGATGCCTTATGTATTATCCTTTTGTAGAAAGTTTGTAAGTTTTGAACTGCTTCATTTCTAATTTCTTGTTTACTCTAAATACATTCAACAATATATGAAATATCTAATTTTTTGATTAAAACTTTAAATGATCAGGTTCGAATGTAACCGACTTATAAATCATTGGTTTAGGAGACGTTTACCAAACATTTATCCAGGGTAAGAGCTTACCAGTAAAGTTCAACACTATCACTTACTTACTAAGTAAGATTTTAGTCCACCAAAACGGTATCGTATGCAATAATTTAGCCGGTAAGCACTGACCATGATAAAAGTCGTCGCCCTTTACTTACCAGGAAAGACTCTCGGTCCTTGCCTTTGCCTTCACTCTTACAATGATATACAAATTCCTGATTGTAAACCATTTTCTCTTGAAACTATATATCTAATAAAATTTTAAGATGACAAATGCCATATTGGTGTGATACACAAACAAGCAATATGAAATCTTGATTTCTAATATTGAAAGACAAAATTCAAACCTTTCTTCTCATTGCTATATATATATATATATATATAGAGAGAGAGTAGCGTTCAAATGAAAACCACCCTCATTTGTACAAACCACCCTCATACGTCGATTTCATTGTTTAATCTTATGAAAAATTTTCATGAAATTGTTTAATCTTACGGGTCTCGTGAAAAACCTTTGGTCTCACATGATCCAAGTCTATATATATATACACACACATACAGAGAGAGAGAGAAAGACTTGGTATCACGTGATACCAGCCTGTTTTCGTAAAACCATTTTTTTACACTTAAACTTCACAGCAAAACACTGTGAAGGTAACCTTCACATTGTTTTTGCTGTGAAGGTTTGGATTTTTTTTTTACATTCATAATGTTTTGTTGTAAAGTTTCAAGCGTAAAAAAGTGATCTTACGGGTCTCACGGAAACAGTCTGGTCCACGTGAACCCAACCCTATATATCTAGGGGCCTAATCAAATGAGAACTTTGTAGTTTATGATAATTGTGAGATCCAATATAAACCATTCATTTGAGATATTTAAGGATATTTCTTCAATAAAGTAGAAGGGGTAATTTATTAGTTATTTTATTAATAACAACTCATCAAAAAATTTAATTAATTTTTTAAAAAGAAATATTCATTTAATTTTAATTACCTAATATATCTATTGTATTTTAAGGATGTTTGTGAACAAAGTGTATCACAGTGATATATTCACAATGTATCTGCGTTGTTATGCACACCTTCTTTATTTTTGTTGTTTTACAAAGGGTATCACGATGTGTATTTTTGTTATCTTAGTTGTTTTACAAAGGTATCACAGTGTGCATCTTATATGTATATCTAGGTATTATAGTGAATATTGTTTGTATGTATCTTTTCTTAACGATGTTTTTAGGTATCACAATGTGTATTTCATATTTGCATAAGGTTCGTTTGAGGGAGGAGATTTTTAAAATCTCTAAACTGCCTTTAATTAATATTTTCAGTTGGAAATCACCAAAATTATTAATTTTTTAATTTAATCTTTGATTTCTGGTTAAAATTGTATCTTACGGTTATCACAAATTACTGAGTTTTCCTTGAATGACCCCCTATATATATATATATATATAGGGTTTATTTCAAATACAACTCATCGCATTTGTACAACCAATGTAACCCAATAAATTTGGATATTTATGGAAATGATTAGAGTTCATTTATTATGATTTGAATATTTATGAAAGATGAATATGGTTCATTAATTATGATCGATACTTTATATTAGGAAACAATAAAAACTTCTATGAAATCACATATTAATCAAATGAAATGAACGGTTGAGATTGGTTTGTATTGGTTGCACAAATGACAAGGGTTGTATAATAACCAACCTATATATATATATATATATATATATATAGAGAGAGAGAGAGAGAGAGAGAGAGAGGAAGGAGGATCAAACGAGAATGATACCTATTTAAAAGAATAATTTTGAACCAATCATTTCATAAAATAATACTTTAAATAGAACTTTCTTAAAAATCATTCAAAAGGACGGATATATATATATATATATATATATATTGATTGGTTATTATACAACCTTTGACATTTGTGCAACCAATACAACCCAATCTCAACCGTCTATTTCATTTGATTAATATATGATTTCATAGAAGTTTTGATTGTTTCCTAATATAAAGTATTGACCATAATTAATGAACCATATTCATCTTCCATAAATATTCAAATCATAATAAATGAACTYTCATCATTTCCACAAATATCTCAATTTATTGGTTGCATAAATATTCAAATCATAATAAATGAACTTTCATCATTTCCACAAATATTTCAATTTATTGGTTGTACAAATGCGACAGGTTGTATTTGAAACAAAAAAAAAAAAAATATATATATATATATATATATATATATATAGGTTGGTTATTATACAACCCATGACATTTGTGCAACCAATACATTTCAATCTCAACCGTCCATTTCATTTTATTAATATGTGATTTCGTAAAAGTTTTGATTGTTTTCTAATATAAAATATTGATCATAATTAATGAACCATATTCATATTTCATAAATATTCAAATCATAATAAATGAACTCTCATCATTTCCATAAATATCTCAATATATTGGGTTGCATTGGTTGTACAAATGCTACAGATTATATTTAAAACAAACACTATATATATATATATAT